TGGAATTTCAGTGAATTAGACTGACAAGAATTTTGAAGTCCTAGCTTTTCGTTCGATACAAAAAAGTGAAGTATGTAGGGGGGGGGAGTGAGAGTAGGGAAGTAAGGCACGCAACTCACGTGACATAGACCGTCGTTATAAACTTCGTAACCGTTATTTAATTATTTATTTATTAATTCCTATTTTTTAACATTTCTTTTCCTTTGCTATATTGTTTTCATGAGTAAAACATACGTTAATTGTTTCAGGAGAGGCCAATCTTTATGTTCTTTAGTTTTTAATTATACCAATATTTACCTTTTTTAAGATATTTAAAAAAAAAAAGATTGAATACAGTATGCAAATATATAGATGATATTTTAAAAAATGTTCTAACAGGAAAAAGATTTATCATGAGAGAGGGAATCTCTGACAAATATCAGAATCAATGTACTAGGATGAAACCTGTGGGGCCAATTCGAAAATACTCAAAACTTTGGAGGTCAAATTGTGATTTCCAGAAAGTGGGAAATCCGAAAAGGCTATTATTGAACCAACAACCCCTGCAATAAATAAAACTAATAGAGGTATCTGTGTCTCCATTTAATTTAAGTTTATTGGGACAAAAACAACAAAATACCTTAAATTAATTGACATCTCATCCCAAAAAAACGGTTTTAATTCTTTAAAGTAATATTGTTATTTTTAATAAATATACATATATTTATATATAAGACTAAAAAGAGGAGGAGGAGAAGAAAGGAGGTCAGAAGAGAGGATGGTCCCAAAGACGGCATAAAAAAACAAAATATACTGAAAAAGAAACATAATACCTCCACATCATTTTTCCTTTCTAGGAATATTTACAATATTGCCCTTTTGGGGGTTTTCTGTTTCATTTTTTTTTTTGATATATTGGGGACACCCGTGACTACCTACCCTTACAAACGGAGATGAACTGACCACCATCCTCGTCTAACAGTCCCCATGGACCTCAGTCCGTCGGACCTGGTCACCAGACGCGTCTAACGCTCGGATCGTAGTTGGACTTAGGCGTCTGCGGGTCAAACTCCAAGCCCACGCGCACGAGCCTGCAACACACGCGTAAGAGATAAATCAACCCGTTATAACAGACTGGCAGGCGAACAGGTCAAAGGAAGTGAGACGGCGAAGAATCAAACTCCCCACCTCATAGGTACTCCCCATGCTCACTACCACCTGACCTGGGGGCGAACCCCCTTTTCTGTTTCATTTTTCATGACGCATCTATATATATATATATATATATATATACTTCCCCACCCATTCAAGAAAATTATCATTTTTTAAAAAACACAAAAACTATAAAAATTACCAATTCAAAGATTTACGCCTTTTGAGCTGTGTGTGTTGAAGACGTTAAGAATTGCGAAAAGCTAAAAATGGAAAGTTTCTTGAAGTTGGTGAACCACAGTGCTCCTCTATTTTCTTCTATATTTGTTCAATTTTGCAATATTTTCCCCGCCTTTTCCCTCGAGATTTTAAATAAATAATCAAATTATTAAAAAACAAATTCGCATTAATGATTTACTTGTTAATCCTCTATTTTCTCGAAGAAGTGGGGTATTTTTTTTATATAATGAAATTAAATTGCATATGGACATTCTATTTGTGTTGGACACCCAAAACAACATCGCTCCAAAAAAAAAACGTGCAAATAACAAAAAGGATTTGTAATTGAGACTTCGGGCTTTCAACGAAGGGTGTTAAGTTTGGGCTTTGAAGGCCCAAATATATTGGATTTTATAAATTTGAACTTTTGGGCCTGGCCCGTTTTTAATTTTCCATTTATTTTGATCCGTTATTTTACTCGGTAATCTCTTTTTTTTTTTTTCGAACACAGGCGCACGCGCACACAACGCTCTAATTAAAAAAAATGTTGGTAAAAGAACAGAAATATTAATGTATATGTATTCATGTAATTCGATTTTATAAATTAAGCAACAACTGAAATAATCTAAATAAAATCAATATATACAAATCGGTACAAATCTAAATCATATCGGATTATATTTAAAAAAAAAATCCGGTTTTCTATTCTTGAATCGAAATTTGAAATAATATTTCGAAAATTTTCTTGATAATTATCGGAAGTCAGGGATTATTCAAATACTATCAAAATGGATTCTTCTCTTCATCTCTCTTTCTATATATATGAATTGAGAAATAAGAGATAAAATTAAATAAATAAATAAAAATGAGAAATAAGATGGTCGTACACTTGGACAACCTTTTATGCTATTTATATTTGATGCTATTTTAAAGCCAAAATCATCCAATGGAATAATAGTATAAGCCCACCACCCCTTTGTCTCCCTGTCCTATCATTAATCTATATTTATTATTGCGAAAATAAAATATATTTTATCTATACATAACGACAAAAATAAACCTGAACTGAAATTCCGAAGCACAAGAAATTAATCATGATTTAATATTTGTCCACTTAAAACCAAAAATTGCCATTTTGTCAAACATGTATTTTGAAAGTACAATTCATAGAAAATCATGTGAAGTAAAAAAAAATGGACATCAATAGTTGCCTTGAAAGTTTAAAATACAATAATTTTTTTTTAAAAAAAAATATTGTTGAACAATATATCATATGTTTTGAGATGTTATAAATCTCAAGTAAATTAAAAAAATCGGCCATGTGACAAGACAATATATAAACATCGTTTTAATTTTGTGATAATAAATCTATCATGTGGAAGTCACCAATTCAGTTGGAAAATAACAAGTCTCCTTGACATTGTGGATTCGATTTCTTTTGAAGTATGAGTTTCTTTAGAATCGGACAATTTTAGATGGTTTACATGTTTCGAGTGATTTGTCAGCTATTACACGGAACTGGAGGGTTTAGTGTCCGAGATGTTGTCCGATCCGCGGAATTGACCGGTGTTCGGTCCGAAAGGTTGCGGGAAAGTTACCAAAAAAAAAATCTGTCGGATAACATCTTTCAAAGAAAAATTCTCATCAAGACACTATAATACGATTTGTTGGCAACAAGTATTTTTTGACAACTCATCGACAAAAAAATATTCATATTTTTTTCACAAGGTATTTTTTTTTGTTTTTTCACTAGATATTTTTGCTCGATATATATATATATATATATATTTCGAATAATGGGGGATTCATTTACGCAAAAAAAAAAACAGATACAAAGCTTTTAGGGGAAGGAAGAAGAATACATTCCCATTCTTTTTTTTTCATTTTTTTTTAATTTAAACAAAAATTTGATTCATGAAAAATTGTCAATCATAATTCAACACGTGTCACTTTGCTTTGCAATTAATTTAGTAGCCTATGTATGAGCTTCTTTCGAATCCATCTTCGTGTGAGTTTTCTTCCCTCACATTGGCCTTTTTTTTTCTAATTTTATTTTATTCAGAAAATGAATTTTCCCGATATAGAAAGGTCACACCTGGAAGAAGAAATAAGATTCTTTTCCCTAAACAAAATGAATTAAATATTTTCCCACTGATTTTTTAAATATAAATTAACTGTTAACCCTAACCAAGTAAATTAAGAGAGTTTTGAGAGTTAATGTTGTAAGATTTATAAATTTGAGTTTAAATGGATTGGATTGTTGAGTTTATTAAATGAATAATTTTTTATTTATAGACAAAGTATTCAATGAAGTTCAAATTTGAATTTATTAAATATAAGATTTTTTAAATTTAGTGGTTAAAGAAGTTGTATATCAAAATCATTATTTTCTGGGGATTCATACCTCAAACTCGGCCTCAAAGATTTGAGATTATTTGTTTAAAAAATTAAATTTAAGTTTATGGAAACGAAAAGACTCAACATTTGACTTGGCAAAAGTAATATTCTTCGCCCAATAAAATCGTCGACGTGTTAGATTCTGTAATGATATTATTGTATAATTATTATTTCCATCTTTTTTTATTTTGTAAAAATAAAAAATTTCTTGTTCTATAAACATATCGATCACGATCTCTCAAATCAAACAAAATTACATTATTTTGTAAAACGTTAGGAACGTCAAATTATCCGTAGATCCGATAATAGACCGAATTATATAAATTAAAATTAATTTATATTTTTTTATACCGCTCAGAAAATAAATTTACGGATTGATCTATATTCTAAGAACAATATAAAACAAATACTGTACTGTAACTTAAAAAAAAAAACCAACTAAAAGCATCTCATTATTTCTCTAAAATGGGAATCAAAGAATACAAAAATTCAAACCAAATAAATAAATAGCTAAAAATTAATGAGAAAATAAAAAAAAATCAAAATCAAGTAAATGTACAGTGAATTGTGGAATTGTAATATGCCCAAATTTAGAAGACACGTATCTATAATGATTGTCCAGTTGTGTTGCGCCACGTGGACATTAGATTCCATGCCCTTTCTTCTTCCATGCAAATGCAAATCAAACCTTCTTTATTTTTATCTATTGGAATCTTCACATGGTTCTTTTTTTTTAGCATCACCTTTTGTTCATCTCTCATCTTAATATATTCAGTAACACGTGTATGGATACACACACACACACACACATATATATATATATATATATATATATATATCAAAATATATACATATAGACTGAACCTTTATTGGTGATTTTGATTATAATGGGTTTTATTTTGTTGCATTGGTGTCCTAAGTATTCCATTGAATATATGAATATCCAACCGAGTGAGTTAGAAAAATTGTTCCGAGTTTTCCGAAAGTATGTCGTAGTTTTTTTTTTTTTTTTTTTTTTTTTTGGTAAAATGGTTCATAGTTGATTGTATATGTTATCACACCAACTTATAATAATGATAAAAACGATTAAACATATTGAATATAACATATACGAATACACCATATAGGAGTGTTTTTGAAAACTACAGAAATACATGAATATTTATAGAATTACACACGTTAGGTTAAACGTTAGATTAAAAACCCTAAGTACACTAATATCTACAATATTACATGTATATATATATATATATATATATATATATATATCATAGTTTAGTGTGGGGTTAACCTACGAAAAAAGAGAATCTATATGTTTTCCCTTCCATATCCTTTTGGTTTTGGCTATAAAAAGCTCCCACATTTCTCATTTTCTTAGGCATTCGAGAGAGAATTGAAGCCGAAAACAACAAAAGGGCTCTTTGAGTTGGCGTGGTGGGGAATGTCGAGGGAAATAGAGCCGCTTGTAGTAGGGAGAGTGGTTGGAGATGTAATAGAGAGGTTCAATCCAAGCGTGACGATGAGAGTCACTTATAACCTCGACAAGCAAGTCGCCAATGGCCACGAGCTCATGCCTTCTTCTTTTATCTATAAGCCTCGCGTCGAGATTGGCGGTGACGATATGCGATCTTTTTATACCTTAGTAAGTCGCCTACCTACATCCATTCATTCATCGCATATATAAGCTATCTATCTATCTATGTTATCAAGAACTAATAAAAGTGTACTGATCGATACATCGAAAATTCTGTTTTCAGATAATGGTAGACCCCGATGCTCCGAGCCCTAGTGATCCATATCTACGAGAATACCTGCATTGGTATGCACGTCACATAATCGTAACGTGTTTTCTACTTTTTATCATTCATCATCGACGTATAAACTCACAATAATATCAAACAAAATCAAACAAAACGGCATGTAAATGTAAACTAACAAACATCATAATTTACGATTTCAGGATGGTGACAGATATTCCAGGGACAACAGACGCTTCTTTCGGTACGATCGATATATACTTATAATAAATCTCATCATACAATAACAAAAAAAAAACATTCAAAAGATGGATATTTTAATTAAGACAAAAAGTTACTAATTAAAACTAAGAATGTGGAAAGAGATAGTGAGCTATGAGACACCGAAGCCGGTGGTGGGGATACATAGGTATGTGTTCGTATTGTTCAGACAGATGAGAGGAAGACAGACAGTGAAGCTGCCGCCGCCTTCGAGGCAGTGTTTCAACACACGTGGCTTCTGTGCTTACTTCGGTCTCGGCCTTCCCGTTGCGGCTGTCTACTTCAACGCTCAGAGGGAAACTGCCCCTCGTCGTAGATAGTTTGGCTTGTCTACCTATATCAAAAATATTATTCTTGTCTCTTAAATACACGAATCATCATCGTTATCGATCTATCTATCTGTATTTTCTATATATGTCTAGGTAAGAATGATATGGAAGTATCTATTTGAGTGATTACGTATTGATTTCCATAGCCGAAAATATACGCATATACGGGTTTTCTTGTTATGTTTTGTGGTATGTACTATGTAGTTTTAGCAATCTAACTATCATGCGTGAGTTTTTCTCTTCAAGAAATATACATACGGAAATTCCTCTCCTGTCTTTTTGAAAAGAAAAAAGGAAAAAGGAAGATGAAACCACGCACCGAGACATTGATTATTCTGTCTGTAAGGAGTTGTTGGATCAGATCTTCTCATTCGGAACACTCTGGTCGGAAGGCGGAATCAATGAGACTCACTAAGCCTCTTATTTTAAAAAAATCAAGCGTTTGTCTCTGAGTTGCACTGGTGCTCTCTGCTAGTCTTGACCCCTTCTTCCCTAGTCTTGACCCTTCTATCTTCTCCTGCTCTGCTCTGTTGACGCGATCCATTATCTTTGGGGAGACACAACTCTTCTGCTTCAGTCGTTGTTTCTGTTTCTCGGATCTCCAAGTTCGGACATGGCCCTCCGTTGCTGGTGCAGATGGGAATGGCGACTGAGGGGAACAGGCCTACATGTGATCGGACAGAAACATATCTGACGAGATAGAAGAAAACCCGAGTCTTGCTTTAGCTCTGTTGTTGTGTTGTGTCGGTCGTGTCTCGTGTGTGAAGCATGCACCACATTGGTAGGAACTGAAGTATCATCGATAGAAAAACGGGTACATCTATGGATCAACGTAGATGATATTTGATGATCCACTTTAGATCCATGATTACCTTGCTATGGTTTTGTAGTTGGCAAGAAGAAATGGAGGAATGGTGATAATATCGGAGTTGGGCGAAAGCAACGGTAGCCGTCTACAAAGAAACATTCTAAATGCAAAAGCTTTTTCTATTTCAGAAACATCAGCCATAATCAATATATATTACAATAGAATTCAGCCATCGCAGTTCAATGAAACGGAGGATCTGCGAAGAAACAGATGCAAAATGGATATGATCATGCGTCAAACTTCGCCTCTTGAAATCTAAGGACCTTACATGAATGAAAAAGAGTTCTTTTTCTTACCCGACAACATTTCAGATTACAACCACATGCCGTATAGTGTCCCCTATCTGAGACACTGTCCTCTCTTATCATCTTCGGGTCAATCCGAATCAATGAATTTGTTCAATCCTTTCTTTGTAAAGAGAAACACTCACACTGCAATGGAAGGGTAGTAGCAGAGTTTGCACAACCTCCCAATGCCCTAATCTGCAAGCTTCCATCAACGCCGTCAATAATTCCCCGAATTCAGAATCCGCACCGCTCTCAAGCAACAACGAGAAATATCAAAGAAATACTCTGATTGAGCATCGGAAGACACGAAATTCTCCGCAATGGGGACGACGAAAGTGAAAGAGTCGGAAAGGGAAAAAGGGGAAAGGAACCTCGCTATGGCCTTTGGCGGCGGCGATATTCAACGGAGAATTGCAATCAAGCAGCATCTTCGCCTCCACCATCACTCACCGTCGACCGACACCAATCCCTCATGCTAGTATTAAGAAATGTTCGCTGCACGAGGGAGAGAGAGAAATGGGGAACTCGTTCGAGCTTTCGGCTTCCGGTGAGGGATTGGTGTCGGTCGACGGTGAGTGATGGTGGAGGCGAAGATGCTGCTTGATTGCAATTCTCCGTTGAATATCGCCGCCGCCAAAGGCCATAGCGAGGTTCCTTTCCCCTTTTTCCCTTTCCGACTCTTTCACTTTCGTCGTCCCCATTGCGGAGAATTTCGTGTCTTCCGATGCTCAATCAGAGTATTTCTTTGATATTTCTCGTTGTTGCTTGAGAGCGGTGCGGATTCTGAATTCGGGGAATTATTGACGGCGTTGATGGAAGCTTGCAGATTAGGGCATTGGGAGGTTGTGCAAACTCTGCTACTACCCTTCCATTGCAGTGTGAGTGTTTCTCTTTACAAAGAAAGGATTGAACAAATTCATTGATTCGGATTGACCCGAAGATGATAAGAGAGGACAGTGTCTCAGATAGGGGACACTATACGGCATGTGGTTGTAATCTGAAATGTTGTCGGGTAAGAAAAAGAACTCTTTTTCATTCATGTAAGGTCCTTAGATTTCAAGAGGCGAAGTTTGACGCATGATCATATCCATTTTGCATCTGTTTCTTCGCAGATCCTCCGTTTCATTGAACTGCGATGGCTGAATTCTATTGTAATATATATTGATTATGGCTGATGTTTCTGAAATAGAAAAAGCTTTTGCATTTAGAATGTTTCTTTGTAGACGGCTACCGTTGCTTTCGCCCAACTCCGATATTATCACCATTCCTCCATTTCTTCTTGCCAACTACAAAACCATAGCAAGGTAATCATGGATCTAAAGTGGATCATCAAATATCATCTACGTTGATCCATAGATGTACCCGTTTTTCTATCGATGATACTTCAGTTCCTACCAATGTGGTGCATGCTTCACACACGAGACACGACCGACACAACACAACAACAGAGCTAAAGCAAGACTCGGGTTTTCTTCTATCTCGTCAGATATGTTTCTGTCCGATCACATGTAGGCCTGTTCCCCTCAGTCGCCATTCCCATCTGCACCAGCAACGGAGGGCCATGTCCGAACTTGGAGATCCGAGAAACAGAAACAACGACTGAAGCAGAAGAGTTGTGTCTCCCCAAAGATAATGGATCGCGTCAACAGAGCAGAGCAGGAGAAGATAGAAGGGTCAAGACTAGGGAAGAAGGGGTCAAGACTAGCAGAGAGCACCAGTGCAACTCAGAGACAAACGCTTGATTTTTTTAAAATAAGAGGCTTAGTGAGTCTCATTGATTCCGCCTTCCGACCAGAGTGTTCCGAATGAGAAGATCTGATCCAACAACTCCTTACAGACAGAATAATCAATGTCTCGGTGCGTGGTTTCATCTTCCTTTTTCCTTTTTTCTTTTCAAAAAGACAGGAGAGGAATTTCCGTATGTATATTTCTTGAAGAGAAAAACTCACGCATGATAGTTAGATTGCTAAAACTACATAGTACATACCACAAAACATAACAAGAAAATGTTGAAATAAAAGAAAAAAAAACTCGGTAAAATTAAAAAAAAAAAAAAAAAAAAAAAGGAAACTCTCTCTCCGATGGGAGAGAATTAACGGTAATTCCATTTTTTAAAATAAAAAAGGAAACATGGCAGGGTAACGCTCTTATTGGGCAGAAACCAATGGTGGGTTTTTTTCATCTTCTTTTGGGCCTTTAGGGCTCGGCCCATTTAATGAGTTGCAGAAATTTGACAGAATTTATTTGGGTAAATGACTAATAATATATATAATCACAAAAATTGGGTTTTCAGGGTAATTAATGCATTGGGATAGGAACTCCCAGTTCTTTACCACATACAGATTTTTTTATTAATTCCTATAAAAATACATTAATTTTATATATAAAAAAACTCTAAATTTCTATACACCGTTAATTCTGTAACGAATTTAAAAAAATAAAAAGAAAACTAAAAATGAAAATTGTATATATCTGTGTATGTGTATTTATATATTTGAATGTTTTAAACTTTTCTTTTTCTTTTTACATGGACGGATCTATTTATGTAATAAGGTCACATGCCCCATATAATTAATTAAAATTAGTTAATTTCTTCATAAACTTTATAAATTTTCAAATAAAATTGATAAATGCCTCTAATAAAATTCAGTTTATCCTTATAAAATTATACATATATTACTATTGTCCCACTTATAAAAAATTATGGGTCAGCCACTATACATATGTATATATAAAACATATATATACGTAAATATAGACACATATATACATACACGCATATTTATATATATACACATATACATGTTTATATATATATAATATATGTATATGTATATATGTGTATAAGTATATATGTATTGTACTTATATGGATATAATATATATATATATATAAATATGTTTGCATTATAAAATGTATTTAAAATATACCTTCAAGAAAATAGAAGATTAACAAGTTCAAATAATTGATTTAATTTCAGAATGCTCAAGATTAGCAGAGATAAGCAGTTGGAACGACAACATAAGACACAACATTACTTTAACAAAAAATTATATATATAATTTTTTAAATTGTTCTCTATTTAATACAAAATAAGCATAAACACATGTATTCACAAACACATTAAATGATCTATTGATATACGAAGATTTAAAAAACAAAACATAAAATTAAAAGTGAAATTTCAGCGGAGGCCTAAGTTCACCGGGAGAGCATTTCTCAGCTTGCCGAGTGCCGAGGAGACCATCTCCTCGACGGCGTTGACCATCTCATCGGAGACGCCGCCAGTCAACGCCGCATCGCCGGCAACCATCTGAAACCCTGCCGTCACGACGCACCACTCGTCTCCGCCGCTCCGGGAACTTCCGGCCTCCGCCTCCGCCTCCGCCGTGCCCACCTGACAACCCGGCATTATCGTGAATCCCGACGGGAGAAGGTCACAGCCGGAATATTCCTCACCGTGTGTGGCAGCGATGGCGGCCGCTTCCAGGTCCACGGCGGAGTGGATCACCATCGTCGCCGACGCCTCGTGGTATGTTTCTTGGAGCACATACTTCTCGTTTGCTCCACTAGAATTGCCCTGCAGTACGTTAATCTCCGGTTATCTCACAGAACAGGTTCAGTTTGGTTTGAATTCGATTAAACCGGATTGGTAAAGAATTTGACGTACCCGGACGCGGAAGATGGACACGTGGTTTCCCGGATTAGGCCCTTTGGAAACCCGAACCCTTTCTTCGATTTCTCCGCTGTGGCGCATATGGTCCCATAGGTCCATATTTCGCGCATCGCACAGCAAACCGAATATTACATCCGGTTTAGCTTGCATCCGAACCAAGCCGGATGCGCTAAGCAGGACGCATGGGTTTCCTCTGTCCTGGGTTTCTCGGCTGAATACTCTGATGTTATGGTCCAACAACCGGTCTGTACCGACTGGTTTCCAGTTTTGTCCGGTTATCCCGCATACTCCGGCACAAAATACGCTAACCATTCGCCGAGATAGGTTAACCAAGTTGCGTTTAGCGAGTGGGCTCAATTCTGCAACACACCCAGCGTTAGATCAGCAAGAACCGGTCAAGATCAAACCAGAAGAAAACCGGAATTTTTTTTTTACCTCTTATCGTCGAGGAGCTAAAGCCGCTGCGTTGTAGAGCGGCTAACCATCTGTGAGCCCCGAAGCCTAAGCCGGTTCTGAGATATGACCTGAACCGGGTTACAACCGCGTCCTCTTTATAGCCCCAGTGCTCTACAACGGTCACCTGCATGTGCAAATCAATCATGTCAAAATTGGTAAAGCAATTAATGTATGGAATCTTCTTGTTTTGGTTAGGCAATTAATGCGGTCAAAACCGACATTAAACACATTAGGATATGCATTAAATACCTTTGAGAAGTCATTGGCTAAGCGTTGAATAACGTATCCAGAAGGAAATCTGATGAATGCTGGCCGTGGATTCGGGTGATGTAACCTGAGACAGGGCGAGACATCGGCCACGACCCATGTGTTCCGGTCCATTTGCTTGACGCATCTCAGTAACTTCACCTCCCGGGTCGAGACCAACGGTGAAACAACCGGCATAAATTCCACTTTTACCTACGAAACAGAAACAAACCTTACATGGAAATTCCGTACAAATCATATGATTTTTTTTTTGATAAATAGGATGGTTCATCGGGTATATATCTACCCTAAACTCGGATCATTTGTATATTTAACCATTTTGGTCCAGAAATTAAATCTCTCCCTACCAGTGGTATCAAACCCAGAACTTTGAGGATGACTTTGTCACCTCTCAATAACTGGATCACCAATTGTTGGGTTACAAATTATATTATATTAGTTAGAATTATTTTATTATGGGTAACATTAATCACAAAAAATAAAATAAAAATGAATTCAACATATACCACTTGAAGAATCCTGTTTCTTGCTTCGATTGAGGAACTTGCAATCATCGATGGAAAAATCTCGACCCAACGGCTCTAAAAAAACACAGAAAAAAAAACATAACCAAAGCCACAATATAACATAACTTGTAACACAAGAAAGACCACATCCATTTTTTTTTATAAAATTTAAGTGTATTAAAAATCAAAACCATTACCGGATTCGCAAAATTTCTCAAAAGGGACGGAGCATCAATAGCCACAAGCCCTGTCGCACGTGACGCCTCGTGAACGAATTCCTCCACGTTGATTTGCTCGCAAGGCAAGAAACGCGTGTAATACATTTCTAGGTTTAGGGTTTCGCTCCCTCCATCTCCGTCTCTGCTCCACGCCGGCTCCTCGGCCCTCGCCAAACGGGTCACCTCGTTCGCAGAATCAGTGGCTAGAGCCAACACATCGATCCACCGTGCAGTCATGGCCAAGGAAGAAGAAGAGGAGGAGGAGGAGTCACCGTGGTTGGTCGAGACCTGGTTGGGGGACCACGACAAGTGGCAAGCCGTTAATCGTTGCATCCGCTTGATTTCGGCACGGATCATCTGGTTCTCGTGCCGAAGCTGTTCTTCCATCATCGCCACGTCGGGTTGGACCGCAGGTCTGTTGCATGAGCTGCAAGGGGGACACAACATCGTTTGTCGAAGGGTTGTGTTCTCAGCCCTAAGTGCTGCATTTTCTTGCTCGAGAAACAACCTTATTTGCCTGTTCATTTTGATCTGAACCGTCATAGACCAAAAAAAAAATATCAAAAGAATATCTGGTAAGGTGAAATTTATGAATAATTATTTTCTCTGATTTCAAAGTTTGTAAAAAGATTACAATCATATATATTAACATTGGTTAGGGTTTTACCTGAAAATTTCTTGGATGGATGATATTACAATTACTTCTTCCGCTTTATGTTAAGTATTCCTTCGCCTGTAAATCTTACTTAGCTTGTCTGAAACTTTCAGGGGGTAAAAACCAGAACGATGTCGATTTTTTTTTCAATTGTTGTAGAAATCATTTTCTGAATCTAATTTAAATAGGCAATTTTATAAAGATATTTATTTAAAAAAAAAAGACTAGAATACAATAAAAATTAATGAGAATTTATTACAACAATTTGAACCGAGATTCGCCATGAATATAAAATAAAGTATTTAACAACTTCAAACTTTGTTTTCATCGAAATATTTTTAAAATATAAATAATTTTGTATTTATCAGATACGTAAATTGAGCGTGTGTGAGAAAATAAAAATAATAGTAAATTATATAATAAGATTTATAAAGAAAATGTATATTAATATTTATAAATAAATTTATAAATTAAAATATTTATAATATAAATAAATTTATAATTATATATTGATATATGTTAAATAAAAAAAATGAAGGTTTACCTTAAAAACTATTTTTTACATGTAAAATTTAATCTTTATAATTTCTTTTCAAATTTGATTTAAATAACAAATTTTGTTTAATGTTATTTTTGTAAAAATGAATAAAACTACATTAATAGAAATTTATTAAAGTGGGTTCAGACTAGATTTCTCACTATTCAACTTAGAATAAATTTATAATATTTTTTAAAATGTATAGTTTCTATATATATAATATAAATTTGACAACTTTAAACAACAACGTAATAGTTATTTGATAAATAATAAAAAAAATATCTACAAAAATTTAAATTGATATATAAATAACAATTTTAAACAATAATAAATGAATAGAAAAAGATTAATAAAAATTTATTACTAATGAGTTCGTAATAGTTCTATCTTTGTTTTCGTCAAATTTTTTAAAACCAAATATAAATATAATTAAAATATTTATTAATTTTATAAATTATCGTATAAATAATTTATAGAATAATATACATTCAAAATCTTTTAATATGCTAAAAATCCAAAAACTAATTCATAATTTAAAAATATTGTAATAATATTTATTTTTTCTCTAAAAAATTTTAAAGAACAAATTATATTCAAAAACTAATTTATAAAATATTGATAAATAGTACACTTCGAAAAAAATTTCGTTTGAGATATTTTTTTTATACATTTAATGTACCTAGTTGAACAATCGTAGAATTATATCTATAAATTCTATGAAATGCAAACTATATTTCTTATTTATCAAACTGCGAAATTTTCTACTACAACCAATTTTATTTAATAATACATGAAATCTTTAATAAAAAATAGTTTAAAGGGAGCAAGATTACCTCAATAAAATTCTTCAAACTTAAAGAACTGAGGATTGATCAAGTAGAAAAGAATTGAGATAGAAATAAAAGATTATGATAAGATGACCGTATAGAGAAATATATACAGTATTTATAAATAAAATTGATAGAATTGTTTATAATGATCTAAATAATTTTATTATTATTATTATTATTACATATTGTCGATAATATGGTATAAAATTAATCTACCGGCGCTACAAAATTTAATAAACTTCCAAATTAAATTTGCGGTATTTGAAACCGTAAAATTGATAATAAATTTATATTTGACGTGATATACGTTCAAAAACACGTGTCAACAATACAAACAGATATGTAAACTCATAACTCGAAGAACGCCTTTGATTCAATCTATATCTTATGGTTGGTTTATAATTGTGTTCAACTTCTATAATAAATGTACTCTAGACTCATCTATAATGAGTAAAGGATACGCGATACCTAGGGATGACCATTTCGGGTTTCGATTCGAGTTCGGTTATTTCGATTATAGAAAAACTATAACCATTCGGTTTTTACGTAAACTTTGGTTCAGTTTCGGTAAAAAACTCATTTTTTCAAAGAAAATCGTCGGTTTTTTCGGTTCGGTTTCGGTTTTTCGGGTTTAAAGAAATCATAACCGTTCGGTTTTGATGTCGGGTTCGGTTCGGTTATTCGGTTAATAACCGAAATGGCCACCCCTAGCAATACCTACGCGTACCCGAGATTTTTAGGCCAATTTCGAGTTTAGAATGCTAGAGTTTTTTTTTTTGTTGTTGTTGTTGCCAAGAATATTCGCTCTCAATCTCGTGATGGTTTGACATCCAAGTTTAGAGTATCCGAGAGATATGGTGTGGTGGTTTGGGTATCCACGGGATATTCGGTCGATGAGGGACGACTGATGAGGTCGTAACAGAGCTGAGTTACGCATCCGAACTCGTTCTTATGGTGACTCGAGCTCCCGAATGTCAACAACCCGTAAAACCTACAAACTCGGCATCGCGTCTAACCCTAATAATAAATCGTGGGCTAAACGAATCTGTCTATACGGGCCACGAGTCAACCCGTAGACTTGAAAACCCTAAAACCGAGTCGTCTCTTGTCTCACGTGCGAGTCATGTGATCTAACTATCATTCATATTGATTTTGGCTTCCATTCTAGTTTCCAACCGACAATGTATTGGTTTTGTTTAGGGTCATCAAGTAATTGGTATATATGGAAATAATTTTAACTTTATTAACTTAAATAATCAAATTGCAAATCTCACGTAATTACTATTAGTGAGAAGAGTGCGTCAAATTTGGAATACTATTTATTGGCCTCCTTTCCGAGTTATATAAATCATGTACAAATTTATAAAAAATAATGAAATTTTTTATTACAAAAAAATGGATTAGGTTTTGTATTATGTGAGTTGATTTACAACTGAGTTCAAACCCAAGTGTGGGAATGGGTATTCACCTGGACTTCTCCGATCCTGTGGGAGATATAATCGAGTCCGGTGAATTTACGGATTATAAAAAAATGTATATTATCCGCCACATAATCAAATTTGGAGATGAGGAAATGGATGGGAAATGTCTTTTTCTCGTTGTCCCTCCCTTAGGGCCATCTTATTGTCACGACATCTTTATGCCGCAAAGTAATTCCAAATTGTTTCAAATAATTAAACAGAAAAATTGTTTCAAATAATCGACACCACATATTTCTGATTGCATGTGTATGTCTGTGTGTGTATATATATAACATAATCACAGATATAATGTAAGTCACGAAAAATAGAAATATAGGCTTTGAATGGAGATAGATGTCTTTTATTTTGGATTTTTGGTTTTAGTTTTTGAATTTTGGTTTTTAGTTTTTGGTTTTTGACTTTTGGATTTTATAATATTTGAAAACTCAAAAAAAGTAGCTTTTGTTTTTTCATTGATTTTTTCACTAAAATGACTTTCCAAGTTTTTAGGATAAGTAATTTTATAAAAATTTGAATATTGTTTTTTTTTGTTTTTGGATTCTAAAAACTCCAAAAACTTCTACCATTCAAGGCCATAATCGAAATAATATAAGAAATTCGTTGTTTTTCCCTTTTTTGTATTTAATTTAATTTCGAGAAATCCATAAGCATTTCAAAAAATGGAAAAAAAAACCCACGAAAACGTGCTTTGAGAGAACGACGCGGGAATCTAGCGCACGTCAGCTCCAGATCTAATCCACTGTACCTGAGAACACGGAAACCAAAAGATATATCCAATGCAAATGGAACACGTGTAAAAGCAAGTAAACGTGTACACGTGGAGCAGTTTGTGGGGAGAGCCCACTTTCTCTCCCACCCTCGGCAATGCATTTACCCAACTCACCCACTCTCCCCCTCTAAAATCCCGTTTTCACTCCGTATCCAAAAAAAATAGTAAGAGACAGAGCGGCAGCGATTCAGAGCTATGCCGGCGACCGATGATCTGGAGAGCCGGATTCCGGCAAAGAACAGAGGGATCGGAAGCGAAAGCGCGGGAGTGATCCACGGCGGGCCACCTTCGGTGGCGGTGGCACCGTCGTATGTAGTGGACGAGGAGGCGGAGATGCAGTGGACGTCGTGGCTTGTGCCGATGTTCGTGGTGGCGAATATTTCGGTCTTCATCGTGGTGATGTACGTCAACAACTGCCCGAAGCACGCTAAGTCCCACCGTCTCGACGGGGACCGGGGGAGTTTATCGTTGGAGCCTCTTCGGGCTAATCCTCTCTTCGGTGCGTCTTCTCGCACGTACGTCTCATATGCATCTTCTTTTTTCCTGACTGAATTAGAGTGGTTTGCTCTTTTGGGACGTTTTAGGCTTCTTATTGCAGGTGATTCATGTTCTGTTCATGGTTTTTGGATTATGCGATTAGTTTTACTTGATGGGCTGGTGAATTACCTGAATTGAATATCCAGGAGTGATTGAACTCGAACTCATGAGTTCTTGAAAACCTGTGTATAACTAAGGCCATACCCATGGTGATAGTGTTGTGTGCATACATGTATGTATGTCCCTGAAATTTATGAGAAGGTGGAAGGTGGATTATTATCGAACTGTCCCCATAGACGTTTTCTTGTGGAAAATTCTGTGAATTAGCTTTCAGGAATAGTAATCCGAAATTATCAACTTTGGATTCATACCTTTTAGAAGTTTGGTATTCATGTTTGTGTATATGTATATATGCATATATCAGATCTCACCTGCCAAAGTTTCCTTGCAGGAGATTTTGATGAATGTGTGTGGATTGGTTAGGATCATTGAATTCTGATAGTTCTTAACACTGCAACTCTTAGGTCTTCTTGATTGGCTTGAAACTTAGTTCGAATCTGCCTCTGTTTTTTTCTTCTTCTGAATTTGCTTGACTGATTAGGATAGTCAGTTTCATTAGTAAATTGATTGGATCTTTCCTCCATGCATCTTTTGCGTTCTTGCTGTTGGGTATATCCAATGTTCTTCTTTTATAGATTTCCGATAATATGTCATAGTATTCCTTCCGTTTCACAAAGTGCTTTTTGAGTTCATGTGGTGGGGAATGTCGAGGGGAATAGAGCAGCTTATGGTGGGGAGAGTGGTTGGAGATGTAATAGAGAGGTTCAGCCCAAGCGTGGCGATGAGAGTCACTTATAACCTCGACAAGCATGTCGCCAATGGCCACGAGCTCATGCCTTCCTCCCTTACCCATAAGCCTCGCGTCGAGATTGGCGGAGACGATATGTGATCTTTTTATACTTTAGTACGTGCATCCATTAATTAATCGCATGTATAAGCTATATATATGTAGTTCATTATCAAGAACTAATAAAAGTGTACTAATCAATTCATCGACAATCCTGTTTCCAGATAATGGTAGACCCCGATGCTCTGAGCCTTAGTGATCCATATCTACGAGAATACCTGCATTGGTACGTACGTCAGATAATCGTAACGTGTTTTATACAATGCGTTTTCCGGATCTTTGGTCCAACTATGTCTAATCCTGCAAGGATTTGTATTCATAGTGCTTTTTCGGGGGAGGAGGAGGAGAGGAGTAGTAATAGTTGGCGGAGGCAAAGTCTAGAGAGATTGTAAAGACAAGCAAAGATGCTAAGAGAGAAGCCATTGATGGAGAACCCATCTTTTCCACAAGAGACAGGTTTTGGGTTTTGTGCTCTTTCTTTGTTCCCTTCACATCCTTTATATAGATTCTTGGATTTATCCTTTTCCCACTTTGATCCCTCGTGGTAAAAATTGCAATTTTTTATTTTACATTTTTTATTTTACATTTTTTAATTTCCTACGTTACATGTTGTAACGAATATATATATAAAAATCATACTAATTGAAATAAATAAATGAAGTTGTTGGGTGTCTGAAAATGTATTATTTTCTAGCCGTCGATGTTTGACATATGTTTATCCTTTTCCCACTTTGATCCCTCGTGGTAAAAATTGCAATTTTTTATTTTACATTTTTTATTTTACATTTTTTAATTTCCTACGTTACATGTTGTAACGAATATATATATAAAAATCATACTAATTGAAATAAATAAATGAAGTTGTTGGGTGTCTGAAAATGTATTATTTTCTAGCCGTCGATGTTTGACATATGCTGCATGTTGATAACATATCGAATCAAATCTATTGATTTTTTTTTCTTTTCATGGAAAATTATATCTAAAGTTAACATAACATTAATTTATTATTATTTGAGATAATTGATTGTATATAATCCTTATATAAACTCTTTAAATAAAACCATTGGACATAAGTCATTCAAAATACATGACTTTGAATTTTAATTTGATTTCAGCACTTAAAGATTTTTCTTCTTCTCCCATCATTCAGAAATATATTTATAAAAACTGAAAATAATATTTCAATAGATATGACTATAGTTTTGCATATTATCCATATTTCATATCTCTCCACGGGCCGGCGACTTACCTTTTACACATACATTATATATATACATATATATGAAAGATTACTTTATTTAGGTGAGATAATTTCGAATTAAACTCACAATAGTATCGAACAAAATCAAGCAAAACGGTGTATAAATGTAAACTAATAGACATCATAATTTACGATTTCAGGATGGTGACAGACATTCCAGAGACAACAGACGCTTCTTTCGGTACGATATATGTACTATGTAAATCTTATCATACAATAATAATATTAACAAAAACGTTCAAAAGATGGATCTTTTAATCAAGACAAGAAGTTACTAATTAAAACTAAGAATGTGTGTGTGTGCACGCGAGAGATAGTGAGCTACGAGACACCGAAGCCAGTGGTGGGGATACATAGGTATGTGTTCGTTTTGTTCGACAGTGAAGCTGCCGCCGCCCTCGAGGGAGTGTTTCAACACACGTGGCTTTTGTGCTTACTTCGGTCTCGGCCATCCCGTTGCGGCTGTCTACTTCAATGCTCAGAGGGAAACTGTCCCTCGTCGTAGATAGTTTGGCTTGTCTATCTATACCAAAAATATTATTCTTATCTCTGTAATACACGAATCATCATCGTTATCGATCTATCTATCTGTATTTTCTATATATGTCTAGGTAAGAATGATATGGAAGTATCTATTTGAGTGATTACGTATTGATTTCCATAGCCGAAAATATACGCATATACGGGTTTTCTTGTTATGTTTTGTGGTATGTACTATGTAGTTTTAGCAATCTAACTATCATGCGTGAGTTTTTCTCTTCAAGAAATATACATACGGAAATTCCTCTCCTGTCTTTTTGAAAAGAAAAAAGGAAAAAGGAAGATGAAACCACGCACCGAGACATTGATTATTCTGTCTGTAAGGAGTTGTTGGATCAGATCTTCTCATTCGGAACACTCTGGTCGGAAGGCGGAATCAATGAGACTCACTAAGCCTCTTATTTTAAAAAAATCAAGCGTTTGTCTCTGAGTTGCACTGGTGCTCTCTGCTAGTCTTGACCCCTTCTTCCCTAGTCTTGACCCTTCTATCTTCTCCTGCTCTGCTCTGTTGACGCGATCCATTATCTTTGGGGAGACACAACTCTTCTGCTTCAGTCGTTGTTTCTGTTTCTCGGATCTCCAAGTTCGGACATGGCCCTCCGTTGCTGGTGCAGATGGGAATGGCGACTGAGGGGAACAGGCCTACATGTGATCGGACAGAAACATATCTGACGAGATAGAAGAAAACCCGAGTCTTGCTTTAGCTCTGTTGTTGTGTTGTGTCGGTCGTGTCTCGTGTGTGAAGCATGCACCACATTGGTAGGAACTGAAGTATCATCGATAGAAAAACGGGTACATCTATGGATCAACGTAGATGATATTTGATGATCCACTTTAGATCCATGATTACCTTGCTATGGTTTTGTAGTTGGCAAGAAGAAATGGAGGAATGGTGATAATATCGGAGTTGGGCGAAAGCAACGGTAGCCGTCTACAAAGAAACATTCTAAATGCAAAAGCTTTTTCTATTTCAGAAACATCAGCCATAATCAATATATATTACAATAGAATTCAGCCATCGCAGTTCAATGAAACGGAGGATCTGCGAAGAAACAGATGCAAAATGGATATGATCATGCGTCAAACTTCGCCTCTTGAAATCTAAGGACCTTACATGAATGAAAAAGAGTTCTTTTTCTTACCCGACAACATTTTAGATTACAACCACATGCCGTATAGTGTCCCCTATCTGAGACACTGTCCTCTCTTATCATCTTCGGGTCAATCCGAATCAATGAATTTGTTCAATCCTTTCCTTGTAAAGAGAAACACCCACACTGCAATGGAAGGGTAGTAGCAGAGTTTGCACAACCTCCCAATGCCCTAATCTGCAAGCTTCCATCAACGCCGTCAATAATTCCCCGAATTCAGAATCCGCACCGCTCTCAAGCAACAACGAGAAATATCAAAGAAATACTCTGATTGAGCATCGGAAGACACGAAATTCTCCGCAATGGGGACGACGAAAGTGAAAGAGTCGGAAAGGGAAAAAGGGGAAAGGAACCTCGCTATGGCCTTTGGCGGCGGCGATATTCAACGGAGAATTGCAATCAAGCAGCATCTTCGCCTCCACCATCACTCACCGCCGACGGACACCAATCCCTCGCCGGAAGCCGAAAGCTCGAACGAGTTCCCCATTTCTCTCTCTCCCTCGTGCAGCGAACATTTCTTAATACTAGCATGCTACATTTGTCGATGAGCATATTCCGGGTTCGGTCGTGAAAAGACCGAAATGCCCCCAAGTTCTATATTATGGACTAATTCAGCACGGCGTCGTTCTCGATCTCTCCTAAACCTCTCCCCTAGACAGAAGCTTCACTCAGGACCATATCCTCGCGTGAATTAGGGCTTGAGGAAGATATTCATGAATAGTGAGTGCCATGGCTTTGTTGCATATCTCATATTTTTTTTTTCCTTTTTTATATTACCCATAAAAATCAGAAATTTTTTTGTCATTTTTCAAAATTAGATACACACTTGAATTAAATAAAAAAAATTAAATTTTGAAGTAACCCTAATATAAATCAGAGAGAAAATAAAAATCGACTTGACATTAAGTACATAAAATAACGACGAAGTTCGTAATAAACTAACAAACCGGACGAGCATGCACACTCACACTTAACCGACTAAACATAAACCGGACATAAACCGGACGAGGAATAGATTCTAATTCAGATTCTGCAGAGCATTGGCGCGAGAAAGAACGCGAAAGATCAGCCTTGAAGTATACTGATCCCAGAAGAGACCAATCTCATCTCCTTCTCTCAGATTTCTGCTGTTCACAAACTCTTTGTGCCAATTGCCGATGAACACATAGCTTCGAGTGATCCATCTCTTCAAGACAAGACGGTGCGTAAGCTCCGTGTCCAGGTCGAACACTTTGACGTAGATTCCTTGACCCTGGTCGAGCAAAGCCGATTCATGAGCCGGCAGATACGGCAGAATGTGAACCATTGCGGTCTTAGTCGGCAGAAGGAGACGGCACTGGTTTCCGACGTCGCTCTTCACGAGATGTTTCTTTATCTTCCAAGGATCCAGGAAGAGGGTTAGCTCGGTCCACACCTCTTGTGCATTTTCCACCACGCGATTCCTCGCCGGCCATGGTTTTAGGTTTCTTGCGGGGGAAGAAACCGCCGGACTGATCGTCCATGTTTTGTCCAGCAAACAAAGATCGGTGGAGGGTTCGACCTGCGGATTATCGGATTCAGAGCTCGGGCTGTTGGCAGGGAATGCATCTCGATCAAGGGTCGTTGTCAGGGACGATGCCTGAGGGATCTTCATTTTCTTGGGTGGCAAGAAAAGAGTTTTCTCGAGAATTCTTACCTGTTTCTTACCCAAGACAAGAACGCAATGGTGGCTGAGGAGAGAGAGAGAGAGAGAGAGAGGGAGGTCGCTGTGGAGATGAACAAAGGGTGACGAGTACACTGTATATATATAGGAAGTGAAAAGTCACAGCCACATGAGGAGAAAAGGGATTTGGTATTTGGTGTTTGTATTAAGAAAAAGGAAATAAATGATGAAATAAAGGAAAAAAAATCTCGGTAAACTTAAAAAAAAAAAAAAAAAAAAGGAAACTCTCTCTCCGATGGGAGAGAATTAACGGTAATTCCATTTTTTAAAATAAAAAAGGAAACATGGCAGGGTAACGCTCTTATTGGGCAGAAACCAATGGTGGGTTTTTTTCATCTTCTTTTGGGCCTTTAGGGCTCGGCCCATTTAATGAGTTGCAGAAATTTGACAGAATTTATTTGGGTAAATGACTAATAATATATATAATCACAAAAATTGGGTTTTCAGGGTAATTAATGCATTGGGATAGGAACTCCCAGTTCTTTACCACATACAGATTTTTTTATTAATTCCTATAAAAATACATTAATTTTATATATAAAAAAAACTCTAAATTTCTATACACCGTTAATTCTGTAACGAATTTAAAAAAATAAAAAGAAAACTAAAAATGAAAATTGTATATATCTGTGTATGTGTATTTATATATTTGAATGTTTTAAACTTTTCTTTTTCTTTTTACATGGACGGATCTATTTATGTAATAAGGTCACATGCCCCATATAATTAATTAAAATTAGTTAATTTCTTCATAAACTTTATAAATTTTCAAATAAAATTGATAAATGCCTCTAATAAAATTCAGTTTATCCTTATAAAATTATACATATATTACTATTGTCCCACTTATAAAAAATTATATATATAATTTTTTAAATTGTTCTCTATTTAATACAAAATAAGCATAAACACATGTATTCACAAACACATTAAATGATCTATTGATATACGAAGATTTAAAAAACAAAACATAAAATTAAAAGTGAAATTTCAGCGGAGGCCTAAGTTCACCGGGAGAGCATTTCTCAGCTTGCCGAGTGCCGAGGAGACCATCTCCTCGACGGCGTTGACCATCTCATCGGAGACGCCGCCAGTCAACGCCGCATCGCCGGCAACCCT